TTCTAAACTGATGTTCTGACTCTCGAGCGCTGTTGGTGTGTTTAGGAGTGAACTGATCGACAGCTACTTTCGTGTCTTTCAGTGTTTTTTGACGACTTTTGAATTGAGCATTGACTGTTCATAATGTCACTGTTTACCAGTGTATTTCGGCAGCTGTCTGCATGTTTTACACCTTCATGGGGCAGAAGGCTGAGCCCTCAGATCGCTGATATAGGTGCAGAGGCAGGAGAAAGCAAGGCCATGTCCACACAGAAACACCGCAAGGTGAAGTCCCATCATGGACACAGACCGGACAAAGAGGGAGAGGGTCTGAAAGACCAGGCTGAAGAGGAAAAACAAGCTCTCAGTGCTGAAAACATACAGAGCACCGAGAGAGAAGGTGAGTACCCGTCTGCCAAGATAAGAGAGTTGTTTTGTTGTAGTTGTTTTTACATTGCAGCCTCTAGGGTTTGTACACGAGATTAACGACAGAGCAATAGCGTCAGTTGCAGCAGATTGATTTTACGGCACTAGCTAAACTTTCTGACACCTTTACAGCACTCATGTACATTTCAAATCAATACAGGCCACGACTGAACATGGAGGATGATCTGTAAGTGGCAGTCTCCAAAATTAAACCAAGAAAACACTTAAATATTGTGCCCAGCAGTCTCATTAGGTGAGGTTAATATTAAATAATAATCAAAATAAATAAATGATATGTTTGTTAGACTGCTGCTCTTTTTGTGTTGTCAATATGCTTGTGTTTATATAGACCGATTGGTTTATATGAGTGTTGTGTGCAACGTTTGTATGATTATAACCACTTCTGAAAATAGTGGGGGTCACGAGTCATTGGTGCTGTTATTTTGGGGGTCCCGGGCTGAAAAGTTGAAGAACCCCTGCCTTAAATGACCAATACTAATAACTGTTTGATGAAAATAAAAAGAGTCAAAAATAATAAACAATATTTTCCTTTATTCCAGCAGGAGGAAATGGAGAACCTGGAGGAAAGAAAAGAAAGAGGAGAAAGCTGAAAAACAAAAAGACTCTTCCTCTTCCTGTAGAGGTCAAACCTCTGCCAGCTCCAGCCTGTTTCTCCTCCTCCCCTCCAGTTGGAGATCAACCTGAACATCCAGATGTCCTCGCTCTCCCAGCTGCTGGCCTCAAACCTCTGCTGAAAGACAAAGAGTCTCTTCCTCGTCTTGTTGAGGTCAAACCTCTGCCAGCTTCAGCCTGTTTCTCCTCCTTAACACCAGTTGGAGATCAACCTGAACATCCAGAGGTTCTCGTTCTCCCAGCCTCTCGCCTCAAAGCCTTGTCACCTCTCTCAAACCCAGCATCCCGTCCTCAATCGCCTGTTGAGGAAACTGATGAGGTGCTGCCAAGCTCAGTGATCCAAGTGGCTCCATGTGTCTCTCCAGAACCAGTCCTCCTTCCCCTCCAGAGCTCTTCTGAGGTGGCTTCTCTGTGCTCGATTCCTTCATTCAGTGAGCCGTCTCTCCTCCAGAGTCCTCCTGAAACGCTGCCGATTCCTCCAATCTTTGCGTTTGACGAGGTGGTGTCTCTTGTAAAGCCTCAAGCATCTGAGTGTTCTCCCTCTTCAGGCCTCATGCTCTTTGACTTTGAGGATGAGGAGCTTGAATTCATGGAGTACACGGAGGAAGACATAGAAGCTTTCTATGAGTCTGAAATGAAGCCGAGGCGGATGGCGGCTTGGCTGGAGCAGGAGGAAGTGACGGAGGTCCAGAAAGATGGAGGAAAGGGAGCCTCGCAGGTCATACAAAACCCGCTGAATGAGGTGTCTCGTGATGAGGCGTTTGAGGAGCTCCTGATTCAGGCGTTCTGCACCGGGCCTCCTGTGTACACCGAAATCAAGAGCAGGAAGAAGCCAAAGAGGAACGGCCCGCTGGTTCTGTTCAGCTTGATGGAGGAGAAGGTGAAGAAAAAGCAGGAAAAGAAACTGCGTAAGGAGGAGGAGAGAAATGAGAGAAATCTCCTGCGGGAACGCTACAGAAATGATCCCAAACTCAAACACTTGTGCATCAATAAGCACAATCCCAACTTCTGCTGGTCCTGAAGCGGATCACCGTCCCTCCCTGACACCTCCTCACACCTTTACCCTACTGCACATTCCTGCCTGTAAATAAAAGTGTGCATAGCAAAGCTGAATGTTTCATGACTCTTTCTTATCACTGCACGTTTTATTTCTGATGCACTGGAAGAAATATATCTCAGCATATATGACTAATAATTCAATTCAGATTTTCTATGGGATGCTTTACAGTATTATATTGTGCATACACATTAGATTGTCTAGTCTGGAGCTAATCTAACCAAATAACTTGAAATAAGAGTCCAGAAGTGTGTCCAAATTTATATGTTGGCGAAAAATATGAAATAAAAATGAGGAAAAATCAAAAGAAACAAAAAATATTTACTATTTTGTTGAAATTTTGTAGTTTGCAGTATTTTGCATGAATTTAAATGTGTTATTTTTATTTTTCTAAAGATATTCAGTAATTAAAATATTATTTTAATAAATATACCTGTTTAATAAATCTGTTTTGTTCAAATGCACCAAAATGGATTACCTACACTCGCCGGCCACTTTATTAGGTACACCTTACTAGCACTGGGTTGGACTCCTTATGCCTTCAGAACTGCCTTAATCCTGCTGCAGTTCAAACCGAGTGAAGAATGAGGAAGAAAGGGGATTTAAGTGACTTGAACAAGGCATGGTTGTTGGTGCCAGTATTTCAGAAACTGCTGATCTACTGGGATTTTCATGCACAGCAATCTCTAGGGTTTACAGAGAATGGTCTGAAAAAGGAAACATATGCAGTGAGCGACAGTTCTGTGGGCGTAAATGCCTTGTTGATGCCAGAGGAGAATGTCCAGACTGGTTCCAGCTGATAGAAAGGTAACTAACTCAAATAAGCACCTTTTACATCCGAGGTCTGCAGAAGAGCATCTCTGAACACACAACCTTGAGGCGGATGGGCTACAGCAGCAGAAGACCACACTGGGTGCCGCTCCTTTCAGCTAAGAACAGGAAACTGAGGCTACAATTCACACAGGCTCACAAAAATTAGACAATAGAAGATTGGAGAAACATTGCCTGGTCTGATGAGTCTCGATTTCTGTTGTGACATTCGGATGGTTGGGTCAGAATTTGGCGTCTACAATATGAAGTCATGAATCCATCTTATCTTGTATCAACAGTTCAGGCTGGTGGTGTAATGGTGTAGGGAATATTTTCTTGGCACACTTTGGGCTCATTAGTATCAATTGAGCATCGTGTCAACGCCACAGTCTACCTGAGTATTGCTGCTGACCATGTCCATCCCTTTATGACCACAGTGTACACATCTTCTGATGGCCACTTCCAGCAGGATAACACACCATGTCATAAAGCGTGAATCATCTCAGACTGGTTTCTTGAACATGACAATGAGTTCACTGTACTCAAATGGCCTCCACAGCCACCAGAGCTCAATTAAATAGAGCACCATTGGGATGTGGTGGAAGGGGAGATTCACATCATGGATGTGCCGCTTACAAATCTGCAGCAACTGTGTGATGCTATCATGTCAATATAGAGCAAAATCTCTGAGGAATATTTCCAGTATCTTGTTGTATCTATGAAGTATTAAAGCAGTTCTGAAGGCAAAATGGGGTCCAATCTGGTAAGACGTACCTGATAAAGTGGCTGGTGAGTGTATGTAATTTGGAATTTGTGGTCAAATTGGTTCAGCAAAGTATGATATTTATTCATTTCTTATCGTGATTTCTCTTAGTGGTTAGTGTCTATTTTGTTTGATTTCTTTGCTGAGACAGTGAGTGAGGCGTATAGTGCATTTGTCTTTTTACTGGATATATTAGGGATGGGTGTGCTATTACTTGTTTTATTCTTTAAATATCTGATAAAATTCCTTTCAAAGCTCCCCTAATATTTAAAACATGTTGGGTTTTATTTAAGCTAATGCTTGCACAAAAATGTAATTAATTAAAAAATAATAATTAAAAAAAATTAGCCCAAAGTTGGATTTGTCCATATTTAACCTAATGTTTGGTAAATACAACCCAGCATTTTGCATTTTGAGTCGGATACATACTTTGACTTCTTGCGATCAGATGCAATTTAATCATTAAATGTTAATTATAATGTCATTGCTGCTTTAGGGATATGCTTATATACAGTTGAAGTCAGAATTATTAGCCCCCCTTCCCCCCCCCCCCCAAATTCTGTTTAACTGAGAGATTTTCTCAACACATTTCTAAACATAATAGTTTTAATAACTCATCTCTTATAACTGATTTATTTTATATTTGCCCTGATGACAGTAAATAATATTTTACAAGACACTTCTATACAGTTTAAAGTGACATTTAAAGGCTTAACTAGGTTCATTAGGTTAACTAGGCAGGTTAGGGGAATTAGGCAAGCAATGGAAAAACAATGGTTTGTTCTGTAGACTACTGGAAAAAATATATAGCTTAAAGGGGCTAATAATTTTGTCCTTAAAATGGCTTATAAAAAATTAAAAACTCCTTTTATTCTTGCCGAAAAAAGTAATAGGACTTTCTCCAGAAGAAAAAATATTATCAGACATACTGTGAAAATTTCCTTGCTCTGTTAAACATCATTTGGGAAATATTTAAAAAAGAAGAAAAAAATTCAAAGGGGGTTAATTAATTTCAACTGTATATTATTTTAAATAACCTGTAATTAATAAGAAAATGGTATTTATCATGTTTATAAGCTATGTTTAATATTGTTAACATACTGAGCAGAAAAAAATTTGGATCATGGTGAAAAGTTTGAAAATAATATGTCTAAGAACTTAATCTACTAGTGACTACTGATATCTGAATCCGTCACTAGAGGGCGCTGCAATATAACGCTTGTTTATTGTACCATATCCACAGACACATTGTTTTAGCGCAAGTACTGTTCATGTTCTCTGCACTTTCTACCATATTCCTCAAGAAATTAATTCATAAGAGCTTAATAAGTAAGCAGACTTTAACGTTTAAAGTAAATAGCTTACATTCGCGTTGCAAAATATGATGAACAACAGTGGAATATCTCAATAGGGATTATTTAATGCAAATGTTGGCACGTCTGACCAATGAAGAATCCGTAGGAGGTGCACAGGGTTGAGTCTCACTTTCTTACGCTGAGCAAGACGAGCAGGAGTTGATATTGTCAAACTTCACTGTACATTTGTAGTGTAATATGGACAGATTTACTTGGAAACATGCATATCCAGCTGCATGGTACCGAAGATGTTACTTTTATTCCTGAAATACTCGCTTTCTTAGTTTATCCCATATGAAGAATCGACATGGGAAAGCTGCAATCCAAACATGGTAAGAGACTTTGCCCTTTACATGTCAGAACATATCAATGCACTTTAATCTAATTCTTGTATTTACTTCGCTTCTAGCATATAAACGGAGAGAAAACCCTGAAGGTAAGGTGTGCATCACTTTAATACTTCTGCCATGTGACTTTAATTAAAGAGGTGTTTAAATGGCGGCTTGTTTTGCTATAGGAGATGCTTTTAAGGAGGTTGCCTGTAGTGAGGAATTGGACAGAAACAAGCAGGTAAAATCACTTTTATTTCAATACTATTTACAATAAGCTTCAATAGTTAATGCATTCACTAACATGAACTACATATGAACAATACTAGCATTCCTTAACCAAAGTTTAACATTTATTAATGCATTATTAACATCCAAATTCATGCTTGTTAACATTAGGGAATGCACCGTGAGTTAACATAAACTAACAGGCGTTGCTAGGGTCAATCAAAAGGGATAAGGGCCTTAGCCCCCCTAACAGGCGTTGCTAGGGTCAATCAAAAGGGATAAGGGCCTTAGGGATAAGGCATGAACTCATTGTGATTTAACTATTACAGAAACAGATGTGACTGGCTATATTGTATCTAGATAAATGTGTCTATATATCTATATCATATCTAGAGAGCTAGAACAATTTACGTTTTTCGGACTATGCATGTATTTACATTTCTATGACGCACATTTTATTGATTACAGTTATTCTATTTCACCAAAACTGCACACATTTTATACTGTGAAAACAAATATTAACAACCCGGGCTCATTGTGGAAACGTAGTCTGCAGAAACGTACGGCTGCAGTTTTTGTTTTCACGAATCCGCGAGAGGCCGCTGTTGTGCGCTTTTTCGCACCTCAGACGCCTCTCGCGAGAATCCACCGGAGGCCGCTGTCCGACTGACCGAATGATTGACTGCGCAACTAGCCAATCAGCCGACCCGCCCTCCTCCTTCCCCGAACCCAACCAATTTTACAGATCGACCCGCCCGCCCCCTCGCTTCTCTAAACCCGAGCAACAGTTTACAATTGTCCAAAAAAATAAAAGCCCCGATTTTTTTTTTTTTTCTACTGCATTTTCAGATTTCGCCGCGTTCTCACCCTGTCACGAAACTCGTTCACTTAATTTTTGGGATTCTGTTTTTGTCTTACCTGATTGCTGGAACTGCTCTTCCGAAACCGATCGCCGTGGTCGACTCCTCTCTGCATCTCGAGCCTGCCGACGTACACGGTGAGCTGAGTGGACAATCGGGTTGCAGCGGGGAAGCCCTCCACAAGGAGGTAAGGCAAGCGCGAAAGGGAACAGCGTCACACCACCCCGCAGCGTTCGCTTGAAAAAAATAAACGCGGCCGTACGTACCCCCCGGGACGTATTCTGCTGTCTCCAGAAACGTCCGCGGGACTACGTTTTCAGAATGAGCTTGGGTTGAATATTAAGCTTCATCAGTAGTTAGAAGTATTCAGTTTGGCGAAACAGTTGTATTCTTACCTCATCAGCTTCAGCTCCTCAAAATAATGAATGAATGATGACAGTGCAGTGGCGGGATTTTTTTAACACCCTGTGACAACAGTGCCACTCCCACCTGCTGGTAGAAACAGGTACTGCTGAACAGCTGACTATTTAATTACCCGACAAATACGCTGCGTTAAGTGGAATGCGCATGATGTATGTGGTAATTTTAAGTACTTAGATAACAAATTTTATTTAAGTGCAACATATTCCAAAAGATCAGGGGCTTTTGACAATAAATCAGGGGCTTAAGCCCCCCCCTCGCAATACCACTGCTACAGAACGGAACTCTCCTTAAATGGTGTTGGGCCTCTTCTAGGCATGGGCTGGTTTAAGATTCTGACGGTATGAAAACCTTAGATAACAACATCATGGTGTTGTGATTACTGCTCTAAAACATGCTCAACAACTTTCCGATTGAACACAATATACACTTATACACTAATACATAGGGATGTAACGGTATCAGAATTTCACGCTACGGTAATACCTCGGTATGAATGTCACGGTACGGTATTTATTGAATCATTTACAGGAAAAACAAAACTTTTGAAAATACTCCAAAAAAGTGCCAAAAGTGTCAATGACATACAAATTAGCCATCTATCTGTAAGCTTTGAAACAGGAACTTCAATTTTAATAACAAAAAAATATTAAACCATGTAAAAAAATTAAGTTTCAATTTAGTATTGTTGAAAACTCATCACATTCAACATTTAATCACTCACTCACTTAGATAGAGATGGGTTTAAAGGAAAATCATCATATAACTATAATCTGGTAAAAGCTGGTATCTCTGGGTATTTACAATGTCCCCTGCAACAGAAAAAAACCCTCATTTGGGACTGAGGTTTCTGGGACAGAGATATGACTTGGCCCAGGTTGACAGCAGTGGGTAACGTTGTGCATTGTCTTTCCCCCACTTGAGAAGACAAACCATGAGTGAGATAGAGGTCTCTTTGCGGTACAAGTCAATGTCTGCATCAATCTGAACAGTATGCTGTGTTTCTGCAGTCCCCATGACTGTTATTAGTCGTGTTCCCCAACTTGCAGGCACGTGCACACACAGGGCTCAACCTGTTCAGTGCACATGCCCTTTTTAGTCTTGGATAGAAAGTTCCCTTCCGCGACAACACAGCTGATCAGAATGCGCGCAACAACACCACTATTCAGTACGCGCGCGACAACACCCGCTTTAGGGTTTTCCAGCTCTTTTTCATCCCCGCTTCTAGCAGCACACTCCATTTCCGCATTACTGGATCTGTAGCGACAACAGACCGCAAGGGATTATGGCCAAGCATGGGCTGATGGGAATTGTAGTTTCCGCTACCTCCCGTTCGCTTCATTCGCCTGAGCAAATTTTCTCAGAAGACCTATATTTTTACCGAGTCATGCGACTTCGGTAATATCGAAAAAAATTAATATTGCGGTATAAAGGTATTTACAATACCGTTACATCCCTACTAATACACTTTGTTAGGTACACCTATCCAACTGCTCCATAACGCAAATTTCTAATTGGCCAATTACATGTTAGCAAGTCAATGCATTTAGGCATGTAAACATGATCAAGACGATCTGCTGCAGTTCAAACCGAGCATCAGAAGAAAGGGGATTTAAGTGACTTTAAACGTGGCATGGTTGTTGGTGCCAGACGGGCTGGTCTGAGTATTTCAGAAACTGCTGATCTACTGTGATTTTCATGCACAACCATCTCTAGGGTTTACAGAGAATGGTCTGACATAGAGAAAATATCCAGTGAATGGCAGTTCTGTGGGCACAAATGCCTTGTTGATGCCAGAGGAGAATGGCCAGACTGGTTCCAGCTGATAGAAAGGCAACAGTAACTCAAATAAGCACTCGTTACAACCGAGGTCTGCAGAAGAGCATCTCTGAACACACAACACAACCAACCTTGAGGCGGGTGGGCTACAGCAGCAGAAGACCACACCGGGTGCCACTCCTGTCACCAAAATTGGACAATAGAAGATTGGAGAAACGTTGCCTGGTCTGATGTCTCGATTTCTGCTGTGACATTTGGATGGTCGGGTCAGAATTTGCCAACAAAAGAATTTGCGAGAAAGAATAGATCAATCCTGCCTTGTATCAACAGTTCAGGCTGATGGTGTAATGGTGTAGGGAATATTTTCTTGGCACACTTTATGCCCATTAGTACCAACTGAGCATCATGTCAACAACACGGCCTACCTGAGTATTGTTGCTGACCATGTCCATCTCTTTCAGACCAAAGTGTCTCCATCTTCTGATGGCTACTTCCAGCAGGATAACACACCATGTCATAAAGCGTGAATCATCTCAAACTGGTTTCTCGAACATGACAATAAGTTCACTGTACTCAAATGGCCTCCACAGTCACCAGAGCTCAATCCAATAGAGCACCTTTGGGATGTGGTGGAAGGGGAGATTCACATCATGGATGTGCAGCCGACAAATCTGCAGCAACTGCGTGATGCTATCATGTCAATATGGAGCAAAATCTCTGAGGATTATTTCTAGTGCCTTGTTGAATCTGTGCCATGAAGGATTAAGGCAGTTCTGAGGGCAAAGTGGGTCCAACCCACTACTAGTAAGGTGTACCTAATAAAGTGGCCAGTGAGTGTAGGAGTGAGAATAGGCATCTTTGGATATCTTACATTTCTTTGGATATAAAGTAAAGCCGCTGCACTGTTCAGCTCTATAGCCTGCTTAGGTGTTGGTGCAAACGTGATTTGTTTTTCAATGTTTCCTGAATCTTAGGCTAAATAAAGTAAATAAATATGCTTACTTAACAAAACAAAACTTGCATAAACCTCAGGAACTGTATAAGAGAACATTTTAGTGGTTTTAAAAACCTTTTCCAAACCGCGGTAAACCTTGAAACCAGTTATCGTCCACTGCCTAGTCCCTTTGCTTTTCTCTGGTTTTCTCAGAGGAGCCCGGAGCCTTCATCACTGTGTGAAATGCATATGGCCGACAGCCAGAACAGCAGGGTCTTTGAGCGCAGCCCCACCACACATCTGCTATTGGTTTTGAAAACAGAGGGAGGCTGTGATGGGAAAATAGTTGTAGGAGGGAAAAAGGAGGTGTTGTTTGTGGGAGGAGAGCTGTGAATGGAGATGAGCAGATATACGCTGAAGCTCTTTGATTGCTGTAAGTGTGTGTGCGTCAAAATGTCTAATTCAGTGGTCAGGGTGTTGATGGTTTAGAACTATTTCAATCTTCTGTTGAACACAAAAGAGGATAATTTGAAAAATGTCAGACATCTGTGTTACATCCCTTCCCCTTTTTAGTCTAGGGTTGGGGAAGGAAAATAAAAGAAAATTAAAATTTAGAATTTGAGAATAAAAAAAGAAGACCAAATTAATGAATTGTGTATAAATTAAATAAACAAATTTTGAGGGAACACTTCAATCCTGCCTCAGAAATTTAAACCAACCACAAGAGTAAACTTAAATTATTTTATTATTTGGTTCTTAAAATCAATAAACAATAAATGAAGCATAAATCTCAGGAGAAGGATTAACCAAAACAACAAACAAAACAGGTCTAGCTCAGGAGGAGTACTAAATAACCTAATTTCAGGTAAAAGAAAAGAAACGACACAGGCTTTCCTCAACTCCCTTACTATCAATAAACACAGTCAAACAATTACAAAAATAAAAATGGCACCCTCTCCCTACAGCTTCAATTTTTAAATCAAAAAGTCAGACAAAGAAACAATACAATTACCTTTTACG